TGCGACTCTATGGATTCGCTAGCGAAATGGGGAGAACGGGGTAGCCAAGATCTCTTCTTCCAAATAGGCTTGGAGCAGGATATAATGAGTTAACTCTTGGTGGGCTTTGAATGTGCTGCTGTTAAAGATCTTCGTATAATCACGATTTTCCTCGTCTCACACGTTCTTTGCCTTACATTTCTACAAGCCTCATCGCCATTCCTCGTTCTACATCTAATCTAGTAGACCTGCCATTGTGAAGCTCAGCGAACCAGTGATGTGAAACGTCAAAGCAGTTCACTTTAACACTGTATCCCTGTTGACAGCGACCTATTGGTACCTATTGGTTGAGTCCTTGTGAACTCTTTGATGAAGCGTAATCTAATTGCTACAGTTCCTTCTTCGTGTCCCACAATTTCCCCTTGTGCAGCGCAACAACAGCTGAAGGCCGATGTCAGACTTTGCGAATCGCGCGATTCGCTAGCGTCTGCGGTCGCGTCGCGGCCAGTGAATCACTCAATTGGCTGGTACCGCAACGCGACCGCGGACGCTAGCGAATCGCTCGATTCGCAAAGTCTGACATCGGCCGAAGGGTGCACCGATTTCATCAGGAGTTATAGCATTCGGAACATAGAATTTATTAGGATTTTTTCCAAAAACAAATAATTCTCCACTCATCAATGGGAGCTGTTATCAAATTCGAAATCGATAGTGGCAAACTCTTTTCAAAAAGTGTCCAAAACTACGTGTTGGTTTGTCTTCCGTGTTGAATTTGATGACTTGTATTTCTAGGACGACAAGCCAGTTAAGTTCTCGGATCGTATCAAATGCGTAACTAAGAAAGATGACAAGGTAATGAAATCCACGTGTTTTTTTTTCCTGAAAAATAATACCACGTTATCTGCAGGATAAGGACGGGTACCAGTTCTTATTGGAAATCCATGGACCACAAAAGGAGGACGAAGCTAAATACAAATGTGTTGTAAAGAATGCCGAAGGACAGAATCAGCAATCGCTCAACCTCGTCTTTGACTAACAAACAGCTTCGAACTTCTTGAGCTCACTGATTCAAGCTAGTCCATTAAACAATGCTGTTAATTATGGACCTCGTCAGAGTGTAATGTTAAAAACGGTGCTCATTGATGTGTATGCTTTAAATCGTTCTGTTTATTTTTCTGCTTCACCATATTAGGGCTGTTTGCTTTGCCTCCAAGCGAAACCATTGTTGCCTGTACTAGGACATTAATAATGGAACATGAATGGATATTTTAATTTACTGATAAAGCTTCATCCTTATAGGCAGACCATTAGTCGATAGGTTATCAGTTTTGTAATGCTAGCATCCAGGGTGAAAATCGGTCGAGGATTCGTCGACGACTCGTCGACGATTTTCGCCTGTTCACTCACGCTCTCTAGCGCGGACATTCATTCTCGTCATGCGCGAGCCGTCTGCGCTCTCGCGCTCTACATTCACTTCAGACCAGGGTCAACCGTCCGTTCGAACTGTTCGAACGAAGGGGTCGCATTTTGGTCGGAAGGGGGTCGCAATTTCGAGGACTGCCAGCCACAGGCGCGTGCGTGGCGTATCCGAGGGCAAGAATTGTTTGTGCAGACCGCATTAGATTCGATTATTATGCACAGAGAGACAGTTTTAGGCAAATTACGGTGTTTTCCTTGAGGAATAAGAACAGTTGAATGCATCCCTATGAAAGGTTTGACTTCTCGGGGCTGAAATTAAAGTTCTTCGGGACCTGATTTTCTGAGGACGATTCTTCCAGACAACGGTAAAACATATAAGAAAGCAGAAATCTCGTAGTCTTCAAAAATGTCTTCGCCCCTCCCCAACAAGTTCTTTGAAGGAAGTTATTATTGCTGAAAGCTCAAAAACTCGCATGTGCTGCTCAAAAACCTATGGGAACAAAATGTTCGAACGTGTGATTTTCTCGGAAAATGGATTTTGAAAAACGGTTTGGTGCTTGTCAGAAAGAGCAATCCTGTACTTTCACCCCATGAAAAAGTGCATCTCAGAAGTGAAAATGAAGTGAGTTATGCCCGCTTAAAGCCCAAAAACTCGCGATTTCAAAAAAAGTGTTCGGCAAAACCCCCCAAAATGTTCGAACGTGTGATTTTCTCGAAAATAAACTTTGAAAAACGGTTTTGGGCTTGTTAGAAAGAGCAAATCCTGTACTTTCACCCCATGAAAAAAGTGCATCACAGAAATGAAAATGAAGTGAGTTATGGTCGCTGAAAGCCCAAAAACTCGCTTTTGCACGAAAAATGTTCGAACGGGACAATTTTTTGAAAAAGGGGACAATCACTAAACTTTTTATACTGTTTGTTAGAGAAATATTTGAAGTTTCTGAAACTTTTTACAGATTTCCAAAATGTCGCATACGAAAGATTTTATGGGCCTTCAAAGTTGAAGGTGCGCCTTCTTAGAATTTTGGGTTTTCCACTTCTAACAGAAGTACTTTCCGGAGAGTTAGGCAATCCTTGTAGTTTTCTGGAAGCGCACCTCAGGCACAATCAAAATCTACCTCAACAAGTCAAAAAATACGTCCCAAGAAAGTTATTCCCCTCTAAAATTTTTTCTTCGCCGCGTCCCGTTCTTCCAGCGCCCGGGTGATACCTGCCGCGCTCCAAGGCCGACGCGACGACGCGCAGACGCTTTCTGGCGCAACGGATTCATGTCTAGCACTCTTATTAACAAAAACAGGGGGTCGCAACTGGACCCCCCTCGAGCTAGGGGGTCGCGAAAATACCGAAATGTTCACGTGAGGTTGACCATGCTTCAGACGCTTTTCTCACACAATACATAGCTTTGGTGAAAAAATTCCTCGACCGTTCCTTCCTTATTCACCCAGCATCAGCATCATTAGACGTCAGGAACAGTTTCCTTCAGCTCATATCTTCGCGTTGGAGGAAATGTGTCCACGAAATTGCTAGAAAAACAGACCTAGATTGATGTCCCTATCGTGCCTGGACTGGACAGATGTCGCTTAGCTTTTTCCAGCTGCGTTTCATTGATTGTTTTTCTATTCCTGGGCTAGGCCTTTTTTTAAAAGTTGGGTTGCCCTGGATGTCCTGTGGCACTCTGCGCAAGATTTTTGGTTGGACATTGTGTTATTGAACGAGATTCAATCCAAGTGGATTATCAGCCCCGTGTATAGAGACATGCCCAATTTCGGATAGTTTCCCAAGTCTCCTTTCAGCGTTTGATGTGGAAAGAAGCTATCGATCTCATTTTTGAGTTGATCGCTTCTCCTGGAAGTACAGTTGCTTGCGGTAGAGATACAGAAACGGATGCGCGTATTCGAATCGCAAAAGCAGCAGCGCTATTCCAACGACTTCAACTGGTAGAGACAATGCCCTCCATTTCGCATAGCGTTAAGATGCGATTATATGTACCAATCCACTGAGACTCTCATGGCACTGTATGCAAGCGAATCATGAGAGATCACTGTTGGCCCCGTGAGGGAATTAGTGCCTTCCATAAAGATGGTTTTCGCTGAATCTCCGCCGTCAGGAAGTTGAGCCACGCTTTTCTTTCGTACAGCTGGCCAGGGATGGTTATACTGGCCTTAGCTGCTAGCTATGTACCATGTGACCATGAGCTCATGGTAACCTGGTTTCCCTTCAAACGAAATATGTCCAGTTGAGAAGCCCTAAGACCAATGGGACACTATGGCCTACAGAACGACCTTCCTCTTGAATACACCCATATGCTAGCTGACTTTGTAGGAACTCGTAGTACACAATAGGGCGGAAAATGGGTTGATTAAGAGAAAAGTTCGGATGCAAATAAAGCTTGATTGCACGAAACCTTCTTGTTCAGTGTAGCTACATATACCCAAGAGTACACTGCTCTAATCAATCGCCTAAACAGCTGAGAAGGACTTGGATTTTTTCTTGAAGAAGCTTGTCGCCGGACATTCTGGACAATCCAACAAATTAGCGCGAGTGACATCGATATTGGGCTTTGTGCATTGTAACATTCCACAATTTTTTGGAGTATTGCGGCCGTCATGTTTTTGCTTTTTCCATTCTATTTTTTTGAACTGATTTTAGTTTTCAACCTCCTACGCAAAAATTGACTGCACGTCCGCCTTGAGGTGTTTGCAATCCTCGTGGCTCTTTAAATTTTGCAAAAATTGAGAGGAGCGTGGCTAGTGCTACATATTCGATACCCGTGAGACAACATATATGGGTGTAAAAAGTGGGTGGAAACTATGAAGCCATTTTTCTGTCTAGCCTCTGGCTTTTGAACGCGAACTGGTTGTGTCACTGTCACTTCACACGGAGTAAGTTCCGCTCTCCTTGTAGGAACATACGCCGGGTGAAGTTCAATACCACTCCTCAACCCCAGTGACCACTTATCGAGCCAATCGAAACTACGACTTTAGACAGCAAACTTTGGGAGATGATCACATGTGTCCTCCAAGCCACCTCGTCCAACTCGTGAGAATTCCATCTTCCCAGCGTGTACAATTTCTCCATGGCTCAAAGGGAACGACACATGGTGCACTGGGAGGACTGAAGGTCTACTGCAGTTTGACGGGTACTGGTGCCGGGTTGCCTTCAAGAAGCTCTTGCATGCGTTCAATATCTACGGTCATTGGGTGTCCAAAACGTGGTTGGTCTTCAGGGTTATAGTCGCCCTGGCGAAGCCTTCTGAACCACTTTCAACAGAAATTCTCTTTTAGGCCGACGTCACACTTTGCGATTCGATTAGCGAATCGAGCGAATCGCTAATCGAATCGCAAAGTATGACGTCGGCCTTAGCGAGTCTGTTCCTCTAGATTCACGAATCATTCCGACAGGCTCCTCTTGCTAAGTGCCTAGACGGGACTCTAAAATAGACAGGGAAGAACATGCGCATTATTTCTCCGAAAAAAGACGAGTACCCACTCTCGAATTGTGTGAAATGAAAAGGCGCTAAGGTCATAACATACTCCTTTGAGGGAACAACACGAACATGTTTCGGGAAAGATGGCGCATACAAGGAATCGGCAATTACTTATAAATCAACCTAACCTGGATATCATCCTAACACAACAATCGGATGCATAGTTCTTCCAGTTCCAGTTCAGTTAGTTCCATTCTCTCTCTTTCGAAATCTAGCACACCATTTTGTCGATGAAATTTTGTACAGCGACAAAAGTCGGATTGAAATCCTGATGATTGCCAGTTGTCGAGTCTCCGTCATTCACGCCCTATCTACCACAATGCAGGTACGCAATCCGAGGAAAAATCAGATGAAGTACTTGATTGTAGCCGTCCAAGATTAGTTAACTTTATTAGGCCAACGTTTCGGCAACTTCGCCTTCGTCAGAGCCTGAAAAAGTCAAGAACAAATATGACTTGCCCTCTCAAACGCCTCCACAATACTGAAGACTATTTCCATATCTTAGTAAACCACCTAACGGTATCGATCGATAAAGTTATGCTACTAGGCCTACCTTAATGAACGCCGCCGTGACGCGAGGGCGACTACCCTTGACTTTTTCAGGCTCTGACGAAGGCGAAGTTGCCGAAACGTTGGCCTAATAAAGTTAACTAATCTTGGTCGGCTACAATCAAGCACTCATCTGATCAAAATATGCCAAGATTAAAAGAAGGTCGATCCCAGTGGTAAGAATGTTTGCGTTTGCTGCGCTGTAGGAAAGCACATCTGATGGCGGACACTGGCAGTTATTGTTCAATCTGCGTAAATTCCAAAATTATGCGACGAAGAAAAATCCAGGATAAGTCTAGATGAGTCAATCCCCGTAGAGTGGGACAGAACTTACACGTTAGTACCAGTCGGCGGCAGGTGGCCTGTCCGGTCAGCATCTAAAGGTTCGTTGGGGCTGACATCGCCGTTAGTAATCTTATTACCTGTTGATGATTCTGCATGGGCGGGTTGAAATACGTGTTTTGGACGCGGTAGTTCCTAAATGACAAACTTTCATCTTTTCCAGGCTCTGAAGAAGGTGAAAGCACCGAAACGTCGGCATAATAAAAATCATTGTCGATCTTGATTGGGAGCTTAGCAACTACGCTCTCATAATCTGAACTAAGCTCCTTATACATCAGCAGTTTTTGCAGATTACCATACTACTTGCGAATTGAGAAAAGCAAACAAATGGATTAGGGCAGCTTTCTTTCGGCAGTGCAACAGATTGCAATGAAGGCAAAGTTTGCGAGACAAGCTGTCTCTTCCTCTCATTTGGTGTTCTTTCTTGCTTATGCCCTCTCCTCCGCGCCTAGCGTCTCCTCGTTAGAGCACAGTTCACCTGCAAAAAGGCTGCCCTAAAGGCATGCCCCAGGATCACATTGGTGTGGGTTTTGCACACGAATGCGAATGTATTGGTGCGAAATGGGCCGGCAGTGAGAGAAGAAAAGAAAAAAATCCGTCGAATACGCTTACGTTAAGGGCTCACTCACCTTCCTAATCGGCTGTGCTAAGGGAATGCGAGGCTAAGGGAATGAGAGACTAAGCGCGGAGAGGAGAGTATGGGGCGAGAGAGCGCTACAGATGAGAGATCGCCAGACAACAGTCTGATAAGAGAAAAAAGTCTGCAGCTTGGGCAGCTTACTTTGCAAGGCCCAAGCGCTCTTATCGGTCGTAACGACCTTGTGGCCTGGGTTGTGCCTTTAATCTCAGTTCGTTCTTGCGTGTTTTTTCGAGTTTTTGATTTGTTCAGTGGCTGTCCATCACTCACCTCTATGTTCACTTTGAACCAGAGATAACCACATCTGCTATTTGGCGAATGTACATTTAGGGCACACTACAAAAGATGATGGAAAGAAGCAAAGGGTTACCGGAAGACTGCATGGTCTTCTTGGGGTTAAAGTTCAATCGTGAGTAAAGAAGGCTGCTCAGGTGAGAACGATTCAGATTTTTCGAACAAAGGGCAAAGGTGAAAGTGCTATAGCACTTCTTCAATACTTTCAGTGTGGAAACTAGTTTGTGGAAATTCAGAAAAAACACTTGTCTCTACCTTCTGATATCATGAACATAAAACTATGTACTTGCCATGTGATTTTACAAATATATCACATGCAGAGTACGCCATGCAAATGACAGCAAAGTATTCATGGCACAAAAACCGGAATTCGGAACGAAACAGTGGAATCCCTCACATAGTGACTCACCCCAACGGAGTAGCTGCAAGGTCGTGAGATTCGATTTGCTCCGGCACCAATCTCTGGCTAGGCTAAAAAGCTGGCTACGCTTCGACATGTCCCTCTTTCCACTGCAGAGGACTGCTTTACGTGAAGGGAGGCTGGACATTCAGAACACCAATACGCTTGCTGCCAAATTCATGAAACTGAAGAAGAGGTCCATATCGTTCCTCTTACCCCTTTCCGATGGGTGAAATCTATCTTACCTGACGACAGCAATATTTTTTTCTGGGAAAAAGTCTACCATCATTCAAGAAGTCCACATGAAAGATACTAATATGCAGAAAAGATACTGCGGAACAGTCGCTTCAGAAATACTGAACGGATACCGTCTTCTCTGGACAATGGCTCGCATTTGAACAAAAAGGACCAAGCCTGGTGAGCAGCACTAATTTTCCCGAATTTTTCCATCAGGCTCAGTGAAAGGGATGCGCCAACTCAGTGGCTCTACTTCAAGAGTGAGCCTGCCTGCATCACAACTGGAACCCTGAAAAAAGATAGTGAGCAAAGCCTGTGCAGGAAATCTCCAATACCCCTGCATGAAATGTACCTGAAGTTGCTACGAGCTGTAAATCGCGACAGGGGCAATCATTGGTAGCTGTTCCGTTTTCAGATGTCAGGTAAATAGCTGTGGAATTTCCTTGTACTTTAGTCCGAGCTGCACTCTGTGTGCCATAATTACTTGATTACCGTATTTATGGCACACCCACATCAGAAAATTACTACTTGAATCTTGTGAACGAGCATCATTTTGGCGTTTCCATGTATAACATCAAAACACTGCATAAACACTGTGTCAGGTACGAAGCGGCTTTTTGGGTATTGGTGCTCCCATCGAAGAAAGCATCGGGATTGGGTCCAGAGGTTCAACAGGACCTGACGATAAAGCATTTGCCGTTGATCAATCCCTTTTTGGGATGCGGCACGCATTCTACTTCCATTTGTACATTCGTAGTGGCGTTTGAATGCGATGTGGCCTATACAATGACTTGCGGGGGCCAGCCGATGTACAAGTCAGTTTTTATCCTCCCAGACAAGTCTGGTACCCAATTAACCGACCCCGGAGGGATGGAAGGCTTGGTTGGCCCGGGCGACTCACGACCCAGGATTTGATCCCCGGACCGCTCGCGTGGTAAGCGTGCCACTTGCCACTACACCACTTCCGCCCGGATGACGATGCTTAGAAGTAACGGGGAAACAAGCAGTAGCAATACTGCGACTGAAAAATCACTTATTCGTGTCTCAGGCGATTGTTCTTTTTTCCTTTCCCTCCCCTCCCCCCTCTCAGCGCTGTCGATTTTCTTAACTGCAACATGCTGCTTTGATTAGATGAGAAGACATTTGAACCCTCAACGTGAGCTCAAACTCTGCCACTTAAGCTTCAGTCTTCATCTACAGTGCCTACAGTTGTTCGCAGATGGAGGTCACTGACTTCTCCACCGTCTATTTTTCGAGGAAATGCAGTAGTCGCAGAAATTTCAGGAGAGCAAATAGGTTCTTGTCTGATATCCGTGCCCAATTTTCAATCGAACAGCTGCAAATAGTTCACCGTCGTGATATACATGGTTCCGCTGTAACTTCTCAAACAATGGGCCCAGTGATTTAAAAATTAGATCACAGGATAGCCTCGCTCATGGCGGAGCTGCCGCGCTACTCGTGCACTGCTCTGGTCCATTTCGTTGCTCCATTGCGGGGGCACCTAGACTGACAATCAAACTTGACAATTCTAATCTAATCTAAGCTCGATCAGAAGTTTGACGCGATGTTCCAAAGCTAAACGAGAAGGCGAGAAGGCAGAAAAGCAGAAGGATCAGCGAGCGGTCAGTCGCAGAGCGTACTGTAGCGATTTACATCAACTTCAATGGAATTTGCTACAGTACGTTCAATGAGAATTTGCTATAGTGCGTCCCTCGCTCAATAGGCACTGCGACTCGTCCGCCGATCCGTCTGTGTCTCTGCCTTCTCGCCGCGCAATGGGTCTTCTGCCGGGTACCCAAGATAGAAGAGGTATGGATTCCTGATCAAATAATTCTTCAAAGATGCCATGACTGACAATATCTACAGTCATTACACATCCGTTAGAAATGTATTGCCGAACTTTCATTGGTTATAAATAAAATTATAGCACGCACTTTTCGACTAGGCCTTCTTCATTTCAATACGAAAAAAATTACAATTGAGATCAATATTTACAACTGATGGTGAAGCGTGGGTGTTGCGTGTACGTTTTGTCAGACGTCCGTCATACGTCGTCCATTTGAAATCAAGTTCCTGGCCTTTCAACAAAACAGCGAGAACAACTGGCGATTTCGACGCGCCACAAATGTCAGGTATGCTGACAACAGCCCATCAATCAAAATTCTTCCACTACTGTTAAAACCAGTCATTCGATTTGCAGATGAGTTGCTTGTTTTCACGACAGTTTATCACAGCCATTTTAGGCATCTCAACAGTTCTGGACAGAAATAAATTCTGTAATGAATGTGATGATTTGCATTTCGTAAGTTTACGGTTAATTCCACCTGGGAAATCAAACACGGTTGCAATGCTAGTCGGTGGGCACCAGGGTCAACCCTACGTTGCTACAAGTACAACGGGGGGGTCGTAGTTTGTTGAAGTTTGTGGTGGGGGTCGTACTTGTTTCGGTAGCGTGAAATTACATGTGATGAGGTGAGAGCGCGCGGGAGAAAATTTGCCGTTTCAGCGTGCGTATATACCCTCCCTAGAAAAGGGAGCAGTGGAAATATAGGTGAAAAGAGGGAAAATGGGGGAAAATGAAGGGAAATATAGGGAATTTTGCTGTTCATGGTACTATATACCCCCCTCCCGCTCGACGGTGTTTTTTGAGGGAAAAAGTGGTTTGAAGGGGGGGGGGGTCGTAGGAAACTTCTCGTGAAGGAGGGGCGTCGTAAAAATTTTGCAAAAAGTATCAACGATAGGACCGACCCTGATGGGCACACCGATTTTTGAGTACGATAGGCGCGAAATGTACGTGGGAGCAGAAATCCCTTGCTATGGCCTGCCGAGAATCGACTGAGACTTGGAAAGGTTGAGCCTCTCCCTCCCCCCTCCCCCAAGGTCTATCGATCGATAGTGTATATTCCAACAGTCTAGCAAGAAATATCATCAAAAGTAGAAAAAGCAATAAAGAGATAATAATTATCGACTCACTGCGCCTCGTTAAGTCATAGCAGTGGGCAAAAATTCAGTCGTACATTTCGCGCCTACCGTATCCCAAAAATCGGCATGCCCATCCGACTAGCATTGCATCCGAACATGCACGGATTTTGCTGGAAATGCGGAAACATCGTAATTCGGCCCATTTAAAGTGCATAGCAGGTTCGCTGAAAAGGTGACCCCGCTTGTTGGGAAACTGATAGTGTAAAGCATGTTTGAACAGTTGCTGAACTTTTGTAATCGGGTTTGAGTTCACTTCTTGGTAGGGAAACTTACAGTGTAAACTTCGCAGTCATGATGAATCGGAATGCAGTGTGTAATAAAATTGGGGAATCTAAATAAAAAAACGCGATTTGAGTTCAAACAACGAAACAACCACTATTGATTTATGACTGCTTCCCTTCAAAACGATCCTCACTTACTTTGCACTTGCAGTTTTCAATGATTTTAACCGGGGTGGCGAATAGGGGGGGGGGGGAGTTGGGCAGGGGTGGGCTAGGCCTGTGGGGAAACGACAACATCCGCCATCCTTAAAGTGATGCGTTCGAGTGTGACATTTCAGATGCTTTTTCTCCAGGAAGTTTTATGGAGGTCGGAGTATGGAAAATTATTGATCGGTCATTTCAAAATGCTTACTGCTGTGACATAAACCTGAATAGATAGGGGTACTGTTGCAAATTCATACCAACAAAACAAAAGTTACAGATATTTCCAGTCAGCCGTCACTTTGAAAGTTTCAAATTTTAATTCAATATCAGTTCAGTTTGAATCGAACCTGAGGAATCTGTACGGTATTCTTTTTGGAACCCTTCCCTACCGCAGTAAATTTAATGCGATTCGACATTTCCATCTGTGTGCGTCACCCGTAAACCCATGGAAGTGGTTAATATAATGGCGGCTGAAACGGCGAAATTGACGAGCAGTTAGGATGACTTATTCTTGTGCCCATGCAGCCCTATGTTAGCTGAGTTGTAAACGTGTTGCGACCTTACGACCCAGATGTTGGAGACAGTATTCAGTTGCTCTTTCCCGTTCTTTCTTTCCATCTGTCATCAATCAAGTCTCTCTTGAATGGTTTTCAAATAGGTGCTGGTTTCCGCTAACCTTGCTTGATAAAATCTATTTAAAATTCCACGAAGTCCCCGTCGGTGGGCGCCAATATGTGGTAAAACATATCGCGGGGGCACTCGCAACGTGTTAAAGAAGCTAGTGTTGGTTCCCGTACATGCCTGGAGATGGCTCGCTCCATTTGACATTTCAAAAAACGCATGGTATTAGGCGAGATGAGAAGAGGACCTGGAAACGGAGGTCAGAGATCTCACCAGGTGGAGGGAGGTAAAGGGGTGGGAGGAGGGGGGCGCTAGCTAAAGTTCCCGACACTTGGCTCGGATGTAGCGTTATATATTGAGAGTTTACCAGGGTGAATCTGTGGGGGACCTCGACGGAGGTCGTCTCTACCCTGTAAGAAGAGTTTGAGAATTTTTGTGATTTCGGGGGAGGGGATGCTCCATTGGTGATGGGAGAGAAAACAAAGCAGTGGCTCAACTTTGCTGTTTCAGCGCCACATCTGTCCCCCTTCACCAGGAATTTGAGGACAGGAGGGGGGGGGGGGACTAGTGAGGGACTGAAAAAGGTAGTCCGTCATGGTGAGGGCGATAGAGGAATGGGGTCGGGCTGGTCAAAATTTCCACGCCGCGTAAGTCACCCTGCGGCGCCTGGGGACCAAACCCATTCAAGGATATCAACAGCAACAGCAGTGCTAAAAGATGAAAGCGCAACGGTCTCGACTTTTTATAAAGTTTATATTTTTGCCAAATTTGTTCTTTTATATATTTGATAATGGGTCCACAAGAATTCTTAGTAAGGTGGTTATGTTTGTCTCCGTTTGGTGATTTGTGCGCAGTAATCAGTCACTTTTTGAGCGAATAGCGACATGAAAAAAGCGCTTTGCACTCCGACGGCTGGCCGATCTATCTCTCATTCGCCTGGCTTCGTTCGATATGTGGTGTGAAGGACGGGGAAGACGTGAACGGCTCACAACTGTACAAAGAACGCACAATAAACGTTCACATCGCCAAATACCGTATCCTGAGCAGCTAAAGGAAGAGGTTTCGTGAAACTACAACACGCGAAACGCTTCAGAAGTCTCCACATTGCGTTTTGGAAATCAATATTCCGATTTTACGACCACCCATTGTTCAAAAACAGGTTTGTAATGAGGGAATATGGGATGGAAAGCGCACCATCGCTTGCTAAAAGGGAAACTATATTTTCTGAAATAAAGGCGTTTCTGAAAAGTGAGAAAAGACTTGAGGAAATACCGTATGAACTTTTCGTAGGATTTCACATGCAAAAGGAAATACTTTCCATGAATTTCCAGCGATGTTCACGTGTTGGATCCTCCCACTGAAACATCCCGCCCATCACTCTCTACGTATAAAACGGCGACGAGGAAAAGAAATGAACAAAAGGCATTTTCGCCATTCCGCTGCATGGACCTGTTGTTGTAATATGGTAGCTGTCCTCATCGGAAAACTAAAGTATCCTTCACATTTTTCCGAAATTTCTCCGAACCTGGATCGAGGTACAGTTATTGAGCTTTTCTGTGAATTTTCCCGTTTCACGACATTTTTTTTTCAGCATTCGCACGTTTTGGCTCACCAATTTTGACTGTATTCTCGTGTGATTGGATTTCAACATCTGTCATCTGCTTTGGTGTTTGTGAACTGACTATCCGTGTCGCCTGTGCATATTCGGCTAAATAGAGTGATTTTTAAAGAACAACGTGGGTGAAATTTCAAAAATTACGTACCATTTGCTTATTTATAAGCAGACCTAGAACAATCGAATTCATTAAATCAGTTAATCAAAACTTTCTGAAAATTTTTAATTTTCTTTTAAATCTCAAAGTTACCTGAAATACCAAAACCAAGTAGAGGAGAGGGGGAATGTCAATTTTTTTCATTTATTCGCAACACTTTCAAATTTTCACATACATTTTGAATCACATAAAGAGCTCATTCTGAAACCCGTGAAATTATCTTAATGTGCAAAATTAATTTTTTCTTTAAAATAGAAAATTTACTTTTTATGTATTATCCGTATCGAGGAATTCACGAATGCAGGCCCATTTCGGCCCATTTCGGCATTTTGGCCCATGGGTTTTAATATATGCCATATGCGGCTGTAGTGCAGTGGTGAGCGGCGCCACATCACACACGCATGGTGCGAGGTTCAATTCCACGTCAGATTTTGTCCAGCCCGATTGGGTCAAGTTTATTTATTTATTTATTAAATTCCCATCCTTTTGGACCAATCAACGGGACTATCACTTGTACCTCGGCTGGGCCGCGCAACTCATTGTATAAGGCGGATTGCAATCAAGTGTTGATATGACCCTGAACGGAACTAGAGTGCATGGCGCATCCACGTCCGGTCGATGCTCAGTGCTTTATGCTTTGCTTGTTTTTACTGGATGAGCAGCAATTTTCAGTCATTTTTTGTAACATTTTTTAAATTTAGTTTATGATTTTTTTATTCATTTTTATTCCCAAAATTTTTGCTTTCACTCTTAAGTCCGTCTGAAGCATGTGTTGATATATTTTTATATTTTTACAGCATGAAGCTTACACGCAAGCGCGCAAATATTGGTATCGATTTCAAGCACATTTTAACCCATACAAAATTAGTAATTTTATTCAATAGCTAGTAGGCTTCATAGTGTAATAAATATACAACAGTCACTTGCTCACTGTTAATTCTTACTATTACCACTTATAGCAGAATGTACGAAAAACGGCCTAGCCTTGATTCATATAAAAATTTTGAAAAATTGGCAAAAAATCGTAAAAAGCTGTCAAGACAAGAGAAACGATGGAAAAATACTGCTCATTACAATGAAGATCTAAAAGGCTAGTTTGAAGAAAGTAGTCGTTTATTACTGTAACGATACATGCAGGGCCAGTTCCCATTTTGGGACGAATTTTGACATCAGACGCCAAGACGCCAAGACAAGTGCCCAGCATGAGCACTCACCCACGGTCGACAGTCCCGACAGAACCTGTTACTTCCTGACACACTTTATTTCCGTGTCCACAACTGTGTTAGTCCGTTCCGTCAATGGGAGTAGATGTGGACTTGAAACAACAAATTACTACGACTTGTCTCCCACTGATCCGTTCTGAAATTTTACATACGACCCCATCCCCAAAAGTCGCAAATACATCGTCACCCCCATTCCCCTTCCCGATGAATTTGCCACAGGGACGGGACCCTTATCACTGAGAAACTTCGCTACAGCAGCTGTTGGAGAGAGCAGTGTTTACTTAGTCTGGTTTCCCTATAAGAGGAAACGGCCCGCTATAAACACTATACTAGAAATTCTGAAGGTAAATTATGTTTTTGCCTTAGCGATGGGCATTAACTTTTGGATCTGGTTCATAGTAGCTTATGAAGATTTCACTTTTTTTCATTGTCAACCAGACAATCAAATAATTCTCTGACCGTAAAGTGAAACAACTTCTTTAAATGCACATTAAACAACATTACTCGTATTATAGGACCAACGAATGGCGAGACAGGCAGTTCGGCAAAGTTCCGGCTCTCGGGTGGGCCTCGAACCAGGACCACAACGCGTGTCGGTTTAACCGAGCCGAGAGCGCCTGCCTATTTGCCGCTGGCACACGGAAGCGCGGGCAGCCTGTCTCGGTGATGGAATACACCACTAAAATACCCATAACGCCATTGATCCCTGCCGATGAGAATGTGCACTGGAAGATTGTTTGACCCTAGTCGAATCATGTCAGAATTGAGTTTATGCATCGTGCTCTGACATTGGCGGCAGTTGTTATAGCGCGTGTATGCTTTATAGGAATGAAAATGCCGGAGGTCGGGGATTCATCCTCCCATAGGAGTGCAAAAATTTTGCAACTATCTATCTCTATGCCTCGTAAGATTGAGGGTCCAGCGCTTTGTGACACCCCGAAGATCTTAACGATAAGTCGCTGTTCACAAATCTCTTATATGGGTTTGAACTTACAATTGTTGGTAGGGGAGGTGGCCCTGAATGGTGTTTGAAGCACAAAAGAGAGCATAGGACTGCTAAAATGACTGCACCATGAAATTTCGCTATGACTTAATCCAGATATAAAAATTTAAGCTCGCGTGAAAAAGCTACGCCGGTCGAGTTTTGAGAAAAAAAAATGTGGCTACCTTCAAAAGTAGCAGCGGCTGCGGCGGTCGAAACTGGACTGTCAAATTTTTCCAGTGAAAGGAAACTCCTCTCAAATTTTGCTCCCCTATGAGGAAGCGCCGCCTGGAGAGCGAGGTGAGTGCCCCAAGACTCGCAGCATCCGAGCGTTTTGCAGGTCTCCTGAGAGAAAGAAGTTGCTTAAAGTTCAGGTATTCACAATCCGGAGCACCATCTCTTGAGAACAGCCACATTCCGCCACATCGTTCCGCTTGACACAGATTCACGTTTGCGGGGACGAGTGAGGGGAGAAATCTCCAGGGAAGTCTCTTACTGGAGGCCGCGAAAAGCAAGAGTAGTACTCTGACAGTCTCAAAAGTTTTTTAAGTCACAAGTTCTTCAGCGAGATGCCAGTATTTCATCAGATTCGAATGTAACTTTTGGTGCACTAAAAGTGTACGCCCAACTGTAATTTGAAGCTTTAAATTATGCATCGACTTGCTAACCGCGTCGCCAAACAAATGATATGCCTATTTTGCCCAACCACAGTACGCTGCAGGAATACTCTGATATTCATCGTTGAAGCACGGCACCGGAGGCAAAAGGCCACGCACCGACAGCCAAAGGGTGGATGAGAAGCGTGACCTGTCATTCTAGAGAAAATCCGCGCCCTTTAAAAGGAAAATTGATTGCGTGATTTGAAGTAGAAGATATTGATAGCTAAAATAGAAGGCCCTCCTGTCTGATCGCTTCACTGGAGCCTCATTATTCCCCTCTGTAATGGCGTAACTCGTCGTCCGTGCAGAATCTCTGCCGTACAAAATAATAAAACATATGCCTACATTGTCGGGCTAGATTCTAGGAATCTTACTACCCCGTAAGCACATCGATGTTCACCAGAAAGCTATTATTCTCTATGTAGTGATAAAATTTAATATCCTTGCGAAGTTTCCTCGAAGTAACGCGCTCCAATCTGCCAATACGTCAAGCGACCGCGACATGGAGTTTGGCATTAGAGCGCGTTACCTTGCGCGACCTTTTTGGGATACACCTCATTGTCGACTTTCATTCATCATTCTGGCGCTGTTTGAATGCCTATTTAGCCTTCAATATGAATGGGGCGGGGCTAAATCAGTGTACAACCCGATCTTCACCCCAACTAAACCACCTCATCAACATAGTTTTGAAGGAATGTTTCCAAGCAAGACTGAACCGCAGGGAGAAAAAGAGGAACTGAAAAAAGAAGAAGCAAGAAAAGAAAGGAAAAGGATACCCAGCTACTGATTACGCTGGTTTTCTTTCTCTTCAGCCTATCGCCCCCCTAACATAAAGATAAAAAAATGAGTGAGAGGTCGGCCAAATGCCCTTTTCAGGGATTTTAGCGACTGCGGTTCTGGCCTACTCATTGGCTTTGGGCGAACCTGCATATATTATATCATTTGTACTTATTTACTTCGAGGCAGAACTCAGCGCGACTGGATGGGTATAGGGGCTCGATAAAAATTGAAAATACATAAAAATTAAAATAGAACACGTGTCAGGAGATCTGTAGATCATAACAAGAGCGAAATCTGTATAAAGATCGGAAGAGCGCTTCAACGGCCAAAAACAGTCATGTTATGCGTAAAATAAAACAAAATAAAATAAAATAAAAATCAAATTAATATTGAAAACAACGCATAAATTAGAAGTATGAAATATGTAAAATATTGTGCCATAATTATTATAAACTATGAAATCCCGCGCCGCTGAGATACGTGGACATCGGTGTTTAGAGAAAAGGGAAAAACGTTCTCTAGGAACCAACTAGTTGCTATTGGGAGTTTCCAAGCGCTGTACCTGAATGTGAACGAAAGGCTCGAGTAGCTCGGGTGATTGGGCTTAAATAATAAATAAAGTTATAATCAGAATGATATGAAGGTCAGATTGAGTATGAAATAAATAAATGAAAATTGAAAATTTTTGGTAATAAATTAAAAATGAATTAAAATTATACAAAATAAATTGAGGTGGATGAGGAAATCCCCTATGTCTCCATTACATCTAGAAATTGAAATTGCGTGCTGTTCAGATGTCTTCAACGCCGTTCATGAGCAACTGTGTTCATACAATGCACCACAGAAAAGCAATTGAGAGGAATTGCCAGGTACAACTGTTTTTCCTTCCTGCCTTGCTACGGCCACCGGTCTACTTGTGTGTAATTGAAGTAGAGGATTTGAGCATACGAAACAAAAAATGCTTTAAGCCACTAACCGCGCGAGTTTCGATTTTCGGCCGCGTAGGATGGGCGAGATATCGCGAGCGCGACCGCCTCACCCGTATTTTTAAAAGCTGACGACAGTGTGATGCGCATACGCTTCACACTGTCGTCGGCCTTCAAACAGAAAAAAAAGAAAAAAAGACATTCTGCTATACACAGAGTTTTGCATTTACTTATACGCTTCTTATTTGCATGCTCATGGCAAAAAAGGAAGAAAAGGCATATTGAAAGTGTCGTGAGATTTAGGAGATATTGCTGAGCTAGTGCATCTCTAGTCATTTTCTGGATATCGCCGTTTATAAATTTCGTAAGTGAAAAGGCGACACCGTGGATGTGACGCGCATGCGCGCCACACTATCGCTAGTATGATAAACAGCAAAGCGACGCCCACATATTTTTCCTTTCCCTTTTTTTTTTTTTTTTTTTTTTTTTTTTTTTTTTTTTTTTTTTTTTTTTTTTTTTTTTTTTTTTTTTTTTTTTTTTTTTTTTTTTTTTTTTTTTTTTTTTTTTTTTAATTAAATATAAAAAATGAAGAAAAGATCCTTTGTGCCCCTTTGTGACACCTATCTTGTTCACACGACAACTAGCCATAAATTCAATTCCTAGCTTCCATAAACGCTCATGTAGGCCAGTGGCTGCTGTATACATCAAAATTTATCGTGCCAATCTGATCTTGTGTATTTTTTGAAACAGGGCACACGTACTGAAACCATCCCCAACTCTGATGGTCGAACGCCCCTCCACAGCTGGAAGTGGAAATCATCAGATGCTGGCTTCGAGCTACCTCTTGTGTTCCCGTCGCCACGTTCCCTCTTTCTGCGTAAGTTCTAAATGTAATCGTCAGTGAATGAACGCGCTGTTGCGTAAGGCGGTGATTCTGGCTGGCGAATCTACGTAGGGCTAATCTGCGGTAGCCTTGCTTTCATTTCCTGCGCTGACCGCATCGCGTGACCATGTAAGGACTTTTCATTGTACATGCTATACGAAGTTATTACGTTGGGTCCATAAACTGAACTGTTTTATTTGGAGGCGCTTGTTTTTGGAATTAGGCGCAATGTGTCTACGGGGGGGGGCAGTTCGTGGAAAGGCCGCAAGGACTGGCTAACAGGGAAGGACGAATTCCAGAGAGAATGAGAAGCGCTTACGTAACACAGATTCCTTCTTCAAGACTAAGATTCAGTCCTAAAACTGGGCATTTTCGTGAATCTGACGTTAAGCGCTGGCCCCCGGTGCCACATCCAATTAAAAAAACGCCAAGAAAAGGTGAAATCAGGAGCATCGTATTTCGAAAGGTGGATTGTGCTACAACATAAAGACAGTGCGCGCCGAGGAGAGAGTACAGATGAAAAGCCGCAGACATCCCGCCGCATAGGCAGTTGTATCTGGAGCAGCAGGAGCACACCCCAGCATCCCCTAGCTTAACTCCTAACGCCTTTGCAGTGCACATTCCTGTGTGAGGTGAATGGCCCATGCTTCATCTTTATGAACAGAGCAGATTGAGAGCTAAATGGCGGAAGGTGCCTTTAAGTCCTTACGTTATCTTTTTTTTGTTCTAAGCCATATGTGCTCTTCCGGAGAAGTTTCGTCGCTTCCCTTTCTGCTAATGCGTAGGATACGCTGTTCCATCCTGGATGAGCTTCTTTGAAGAAAAATTCGAATATGGTACTCACGTGACGAACTGAACGGCCCTTACGTCCAGCCATCATAAACGCACGTCTTTGCTTCGCATCGCGAAATCGTGGATTCCACAGAATCGCCGATTCCACGACCCGAGGATCACCTAACTTTAGTCGCACTTTCTGCAGCCCAGCTGTCTAATACATTTAATTTCAGAAATTAACACTGATGGCTTGCTAGACAGAGTTCAAGGAATGTTGAGTGGAACCTAGAAATTCTCCATGAACTTCTACTTCATATAACATTTTTCTTTATCGAAGATGTTACCAAGCATTTTGAATATTCCTATTTTTCAATCATCTATTCGTATTGATATCCAATGTTTATCAATAAAGATTTGTAACATTAGACTGTACACGTCTTTGCACATACCGCCGATCTCACTGGCTTCAAAAAAGCAACAAGCAATTTTAGTTGGAGGGCGGCCGTTGAGTAAGCGCACTAGTGAGCAGATGACAAGGCGATTTTCTCGTGTGTCAGTGAGAGCGTTTGAATTTCCGGACGCACCTGCACCAAAAATTATGCCAGAAGATCAAAAACTTAAAGGGGAAGTTTACAAAGAAAAGGCAGCCCATTGGAAATCAAGGGTAGAGGTGGTCAGTGGTGCAGGATGAAGAAAAACCATGAGAAACGGCCAGAACCCGAGAAATGGGACCCTTTTTGCCCGTTGATTTCCGCATTGATGCGACTCTCATCGGTGCTGCCCTCTTCAACGCTAACGCTCTCCCTGTCAAACGGCTAGAGTCAGACGGCAGCGGGATGGGCGTGCCGCGACATGAGCGGCGCGGGCACGCGCCTGCCGCGCCGTTGAGGTTAGATATTTCGCTGCAAAAGCGCATCGCACAGCACCCTCAGGGCTAAAGCCAATCTTCCGACTTCATGTATGATCCTTTTTTCGCCGACCCTTTCGTGAATCCTCCTTTTATGTGGGGGAAATACTGAGGATATGGTCCATAACATGCGAGAAAAGTGTGAAATGTTGGTCCTAGCGCCATGGCGCCAGGATGAAGACGCTCATTCGAAACATTGAGATTACGACTTAATCATGGTTTGACTCATAAAAACTACATCTCGTGTCCATTCTTTTCGTTAACATTGCAAATTGTTCCTTCGAAAACGGCAGATTATCAACAATATTTAGAAAATGTCAAATTTCTCCACAACCTGCAACACTATGTGTAGGCTCAGAGCAGGCGGGACCTCGACAGGAGGTCCGTCGCGCGGCAAGAAGGCAGAGTCAGCGGACGAGTCGCAGCGCGTGTGATGTAGGACGTACAATGGTACATTCTATTCAACTTGACGCGAAATCACTACAGTACGCGGTGCGACTCGTCCGCTGACTTTGCCTTGTTGCTGCAGGACGGACCTCCTGTCGGGTACCCAGAGCAGGTGGCTCTTGCGCTTTTTTATTTCTGGCAAAGTGAGGACCACCATTCCCAACGAAAACGGTACGACAACTATCGACAGAAATTGAATCAATCAACGAATCAATCAAGAGACAGCGTGTTTCAGATGGATGTGTATGTGCCCAGCAGATAAGGCAGAAGATTGTGCGGCGTGAAGGGGAGCAATTTTTTAGATTGGGTTTCGAGTTTGTGACTGAACCTATTTTGCAGAAACAGGAAGAGTGTCAGTCACTTGCATTCGAAAACACCCGACTAACGTGAGGCGCGACACTCCAACGGACTTTCGGAGCAGTGTCCGTTGGAAATTTTTGGAAATTTTTACGACCCCCCCACTTTTTTGGGGAGGCTCGATACTGCCCCCCCCCCGTGTGTGAAAATGTGTATGTGGAAACTTTAACTTAAATATGGACAAGGGAGCATTCCCCGTTTTCCCCGGTGTTCCTGCCACAATCAAATAAATTTCAATGAAATTCTGCACCTGCCTTCTTTCGAGGGTCATAAGTTCCTTCAAATTCGAGGTTGTGTGACGTGGTGAAAAAATTTAAAAATTCAAAACATGCTCTTCAAAAATCGTTAAATATCCGTTGAAAGTTTATTCAGTAAAAAAATAAGCGTGCTAGTCTTTTCTCATTGTGCATGCGAGTTTTCAACATTCAAAAGATAACAACTTCCTTCAAAGTCATCAACTTGGGAAGCTAAAACCAGCACGAAAAAGTGCAAGGTCCAAGCTTTCTAAAACTTTTTTTGAAAATTCGTCGACCCAAAAATAGTCCCGTTGGGAGTTTTTTGGGGGCTTGTGGGAGTAATTTTTCAGAACCACGAGTTTCGCAACGATCACAGCTTTCTTCAAAGTCATTAATTTGGAAAAGCTGAAGCCGGTATGACAAACTACAAGATTCAAGCTTTCTAAAAGTGCCAAAACTTATTCAAAAAGTTACCGATTCAAAAATTAGTCCCGTTGGGACTTTTTTTGGAGGGCACTCATCAAGCCATTTTCGTGAAACGCGGGTTTTTTAGGTTTCAATGGTCGTAACTTCCTTCAAAACCGATTTTCGTGAAACTTTGAGTGTGTTAGAAAACCGCGAGTATGCGCTTTCAAAAATTCACTCAAGCATTCTGTGGAAATCCGTTTCTCCGAAAAAACTTCTTGTAAAAATTTTTTTTTTTGAGAAGTCAATCCTTTATGCTACTGTAATTTTCTTCGTTTCATTCACTCCAGAAACATCAAAATCCTTTTGAAACAGCTCTTTGTTAATAATAACTGGGATGCAGAGCGCTTTGCATTAATATTCCCTGCCATGGTGTGCGCCGCGCTTGCGCTGTGCCTCTGATTTGCCGCTATATTTAGAAGTCCGCGGATTTACCGCGCTTATCACCCCTCCCAC